ATACTTATACCATCAGGTTTGTAAGTTATTTATAATTTTGCCGCCAAAAATTCAGTTGTTAAGGCATCAGCATTATTAAAATTATCTCATTAAGAGAAATGCAACAATACATGCACTCTTTGTTTATAAATCTAGTTTCTTATTCTACCATGACAAGTGCTATGACAGCAACTATGACTACTGTAATGACTAGATCCTCTACATATGCTGTGACAACTACTGTATTAGTGACTAGCAGAGGAAATGTTGGATTGATAGTTGGTGTCACTGTAGTATATATACCTATGATACTACTGGCACTGGCTATGGTTGTAGTTGTACTAGTAATTGTTATGTATATCAAAAGAGCTAATCAAAAGAGGTATTAATGATATATTTTATATTACTATTTATGTTAAAATTGCAATTTGTAGAAAATCAGATAATGAGATTGTAATGGAATGCAGTCCAGCTTATGCTACAACTGAATTTAAAACAAAGTTAGTTACACTATTGACTATTACATTGAATATTTTATTTATTATTAATAGATCAACTGTTGAGCCAGTGTATGATACAACTGAGTCAGGGCCTCCTACTTCTGTTCCACCACCTTCTACTGAATATGAAACACCAACTGTTTAATAATGTACTCATATTTTATGTAGACTAGTTAGCGATGTAAATTAGGTAGACTAGATATAGTAATTGATATACATATGTTAGTAATAATGTTTGCTAATGTTAGCTAAAATAGCTTGCATGTTATAAACATGTCACAAATGGTTGAATAGCTTATTCTATTAACAAAGATATCTAAACTTAGAGTGCACTTTGTAATGAATGTCACAAATGACAAACAATCATAGCTTAATACCTCACCCACACATTAGCTAAGTATAGTCTCATGTAAACAACAGTCATGATACAAAGCTATAGTCTTTAACTATAATAAGATTGAAAAATTATCATTTCAAAATGTATGTATACACAAGTGTATGGATAGTGTGTGGTGGAGCGTGTTCATTTGATGGTGTCAAGGTTCCTCTGGAGTTCTCTCTTGAGGTTCCTCAGTCCAGCAGTGAGTGTATTGATATCAGGAGTGGAGGGATCCAGTGTCTGTAGCTCAACCAAATACTTATCAATAGCAACTGAGAAATGTCTAGAGAGGGAGAGAGAGGAGGAGGAAAAAACTCAAGCCCATACCAAAATACACCAAGCAATTTTTAGTACTTTTTTACTTAGCATTTAACTAGAAATTTAAAAAAAGATAGAGAGAGTGGATGGAAAGAAATAAAAAATATATTATTTTATTATACACAGTGTACATGTGTATTTCATAATTTGAATATGAGGCATGTACAATGTCCTACTTGGCAGCTACTAGTGAACTGTTAGCAGTATAAGCTGATAGCAAAGCCAATAAAACTGACAGAACATGTAACGACTGACCTACTGAACCCCAAAATGTATCCTAAAAATAAAGTATAAAAATTAATATATATATATATATATATATATATAATAATTATGCATCCAAATAAGGAAATGACCAAATATGGACATATATCTTTTCTTCAAAGAGCTAAAAAAGGCTTATACAGGCTGGTAGTAACAGTGTTTAAGATGCCTGGGAGTGTCAAATTTTTTGATGGGATATCTCTTCATTCTCTTGATAATATCAGTAAAATCTGCTGTTGTGTCAACAACCGTGACACATTAGTCACATGACAGTGTTACTGTTAGGTCAGCA